GAATGCAACCTGCTCTTATGTATTTCTTCTTAGCCGGCAAGCTAAATATTCGTATACAATAAATAGTGTACAATTGCCGTGGGAGCTCGCTATAGCGATTAGATACCAATTGTGCAAAGGCCATGAGGTCAATGTGAGGATGGGTGGATTAACAGATTCACGGCCATTTTTTTCTGTATTTCAAAATTTATATTGTATATGTGAAAACATAATAGATTTGCCTTTGAAAGTTCACTACATTCATTACCAACCTCAGTAGAATATTATGAAATACATACAAGTAAAACTTATGTATAAACGTGAAACTGGTTTTAACTTGTTTCATAATTATATTTATATAATATATTTTCATTAATATGGATGCAAATGCAAACAGCAATGGAAACAAAATGTATGTGCCAGGGCCTAAGTACATGAAGTTTTGGTCACTAGTCTTCTTCTTCTCCCTGCCCATTTCCCAATCACTTGGGGTCGGATTTGGCAAAAGTTTTCCGACCGGCCGCCTGCCTGACGTCAACCCTCCTTGGGAATGCTATTGTCTCTCTTGGTTGGTCACTAGTATTAACAGTAATATTTTTAATGTAAAAGTAACTCAGTCTGTCACTTTTTTATATTTCTACACTTATTCGATAAAATTTGGCAAGATATCGCTTACCATGCAAACAGCCGAAGGCAAAAAGTAGTTAACCTGTTATAAAAATATCATGCGTAAACCAAACCACGTGGTTCTGTTATGAGAGTTTTAATTAAAATTTATCAAATTTGACAGCTTCAATTTATTTTTGAACCAATCAAAGGTATTGCGATGCGACACACCTACATATATCATACCACACAGCGCAAAACCAGTTAAATGTTAAAAATGAATTGCCTTTAACTAATCTATTAGTAATAATAATTATTTACTGTCAAATTTCTTAAAATATAACTTGGTTTATAAACTCGATTTTCAATTATTACCTATTAAAGACTAAAATCAAATGGTCTAATTTTATCAGCGTTTGCTGGAATATTCAAAGTTCATACGAGGGAGACAAAAAAGAAAATTCATGGGAAATAATTTAAGCTATTCGGAGAATATTTTAGTATTCAACTTAACTCCATATGCCCGACGTGCAAACCTTTCACATAGCACAGATTCAAATTCCATGGCCGCATTGCCATCAATATTATAAGTGCCAAGTTAGATGTGCCCAATAAACGGTAAAAAGTGGGCCACTGACCCTACGCACTCGCACTCATGTACATTTACATTCAGTACGGCCTTTACGCATATTACTATAAAGACCACAGCGCACTTCGACTACGTGAGACCCCCAAGTCTTAACGGTATTAAACTACATAATTTATCAATGGATTTTGCTAGCTCGTGATCAAGCGTGTACTTACTACTTATAATAATCTTTCAAACTAGTTTGGTCATAATATTTTTATTTTGATCTATTTTTATAATAATATCATAACAATTTTTTAAATAGCACTATAGTAATCTAATATATTTAAACGAGCAATTCTTGTATGTATATTTATATATATGTATATAATTTGAATTTCGGAAACGGCTTCAACGATTTTCATGAAATTTAGTATACAGGGGGTTTCGGGGGCGATAAATCGATCTAGATTAGTTTTATGTCTGGGAAAACGATTGTTTTTGAGTTTTCATGCGGTTTTGTTGCGCAATATTCCACGCAAAACTAATGCGAATGCTTTATACTAGTAAAACAATTGAGAATTCTATTGACTGTACAAATGACCGTAAAATATTCCATACATGACAAAACTTACGAAATATTTCTTTACATGACTCGTATAAGCAACAATGTTTTTTCTTTTGAAATGAAATAAACTTTATTCAATTAGACTTATTACGAGTACTTTTGAATACTTTATTTTCCTTGTCACTTTAAGAATCATTCTCTACGACAACGCCCCAAAATAAAAATTCATCAAAAAATTCCTCGCAAGTTTCTCTTGAGAACGATAAAGGAGTAACGTTCCTTACGTTCCGGCATATTATATCCTTAAAATATCTAAACAAAAGAATATTTTTAGTGGGTGTCTACATAAAATATAACTGCCTCGGTGGTGTAGTGGCTAGCATGTACGGCTGCACACCCGGAGGTCCTGGGTTCGAGTCCCGGGTCGGGCCAAGTTTAGTTATTGAGTCTTTCTGTATAGTAAGCCTCAGTAACAGCCCGGAGTTGGGAAGTTGGCGGTATTTCACCCCCGTGCCTCGGAGAGCACGTAAAGCCGCCTTAACTCTCACCGGTCGTGTCGAGTGGTCGTCCCACCGGAGTATGAGAGTGACAGGAATAGAGAGTGCACGTTGTGTCTGCGCGTACACTTGTGCACTATAATATCTCCTGCGCAGTTGGTTAGTCTCAATGAGATTGGCCGCAGTGGCCGGAATCGGTCGGGAGAACATCACATAAAATATTATAAATAATAGCCTGAATATTATAAAATAGCAGTTTTAAAATCATTAAAATAAAAATTAAAAAAAACCCCCTACGCAAATTAATTGTCATTTAACGATTATACTGGCACGCGTGAAGCATTTATTCGAGTAATCATAGGCCAAAATGCCTTACATAATTTTGGAAAAGAGCTGATACTCTTTACTCTACTGGACCGATATTAACCAAATAGCTAAGAACCACCGCAAGGAAACTGGCTTTCAAATGAAAAAAAAAACCGCAACGAAATCGGTCCATCCGTTTGAGAGTTAGGATATAGTTAATAAAAACAAGGTATGGTGACAAAATAATTTAGTGACGTAATATCATTATAGTGATTTATTATTCGTTAGTTACAGAAGAAGATTCCGGAAGCTTGGCTTCGTCTCAAATTGATCGACACCATCTTAGTGTCAATCAATTTAAGAGGAGCCCAAGTTGCAAATATCTTATCAGACAGGTAAAGGTTTCTGAAACAGTATACTATTACTATACACAATATAAAGTACTTTACGCTTTGCAATTTAGTTTGAAAAATGAAAACACATTTGTGTCGTAAATAAATTATAATCTAATGTAATCTAATATATTGCTTGTACTTACTATAATATTTTCGTTTGCATTATCTATAAACAGATAAATAAAATTAAAGTGTCATTTGTAATGTCAAAATAACAGCTTTTTACTAAAATGGATGTATACACGGTTGACGGTACATATACAAAAACAACATTTACAATTTTTACAATTTTTCTCTGTCTGTCTGTTTGATCCGGCTGATCTCCGAAACGGCTGGACCGATTTGACGGGACTTTCACTGTCAGATAGCTGATGTAATAAGGAGTAACTTACACTACTTTTATTTAAGAAAAAAATAGGGTCCCACGAAAAAAAATTAAAACCAATGAAAAATTTAATAATATCCGATTCAAATAGGGAAGTTGTATACAGTGAGTCGCTAGTATCTAATATATAAAATTCTCGTCTCACAGTGTTTGTAACAAAACTCCGAAACGGCTTGACCGATTCTTATGAAATTTTGTGTGTATATTCAGTAGGTCTGAGAATAGGACGCAAATTTATTTTACATACTCCTAAGTGGAATCGGTGGCCCACTCCAAAAATATTTTTTTTATTTTTTGGACAAAATTATTTAATAATTCTATTAATTTTGTTATGATTCGGCATTAAAAAATACATACAAACCTAAATTTTCACCCTTCTACCACCAACCCCTATTTTTTAATAGCAATATTAGTATTTACATTATTTTCTACTCTCGCAAATCTATATTAACCATTAAAAGGTAACTAGGGACGAACCCGAGCGAAACGAGGGTGAGTCGCTAGTTTATAATAAAAAACCCATTATACAACATAGGTTGGTTATAATCAATCAAAAATATCTCTAAGATCGTTGATCATTACCGATAGATAAGATAATATAGTGTGTTATACAATTTATTTATATCAGAAGAGCTGATAAACAATATTTGAGATGACGAGACTTTGTGGCCTTGTGCGCCACAGGACATGGTAACTGGTAGTTTAAGGCGTTTGTTTGTCAACCTTAGGTGTTAGGTGACACACTATACTATATTTCATATGATATTTTGTATAAACAAGTGATGCATGTAATTTATGCTAAGAGCTACTAGATAACTGGGTCATTTCTTCATTATCTTGACAAATACTTTCATATTTTGAGACACATTTTTATATATTTTTATATATTTTATGATAATAAGTCTTCTATTTATTACACAATACCGTATTATGTCAAGTTTAACATTTCATGAATGGAAAAATGAATATTGTATGTGTGTCTCAAACAGCTATTGTGTTGCTTTTTATAACATGCTTATTAAAACAGCTGTTAGCAATGTCTGACTAATTTAGTATACTTTCAGCGTCATACAGTGGTTATACTTATATCTTTTGCCGAGTTTTGTTTTATTTATATTTTTTTTAATTTAGAATAATCTGTTTATTTCTGCACGTTATATTGTTACACGTTAAATTAAAATGGATATAGTATGTTATCTTTAACAGATAGACATATGCCATCGCGGACTTTTCTGTAGACCTTTATAAGATACAATTCCACCATACATTATTTTGTTATGTCTCAAAGGGTTTAGGCAGCGTTTTCGTTGAAAGCTCCCAGACGTCTTATTTTTTCCGACACCTCCAACAAATATCGTTATATTTTAGCCAATGTATACAAAAACTTTCCTCTCGAATCACTCTGTCTATTAAAAAAAACCGCATCAAAATCCGATGCGTAGTCCCTTCCGCTCGAAATGCGAACGAAAGCAGACGTGTGCACTCAAAAATACAATCATTATTTAATATTTACATATTTTACTAATTGGTTCAACTAATTAAAAATATTGGATATTTACAAGACAATAATAAATAATCCTAATTTAAATATTGAAGTAAAACTAGGTCAACATAGAAATTATAAAATTAACCTGTGTAAGCCGTGGGTGAGTTTCACTACGAAAACTTTGAACTCGTACCAAGTGCCTTTATAATAATGTCTACCATCGCAAGATCTCCTCCTGGACATAGTCTTAAGCACACAGCTTCGGATTCCGATATTTCAACAATTACTCCCTGTACCCCAATGTCATCGAATATTACGCTAAGAAGCAAAAGACCACGAGAGTCAAGCGAGGAAAAGTTTTCAACTTTTAAAGACGAAATAAAAAACATGATAGAAAGTTGGAAAGAAACACAGAATTCAATGTTAAGCAAGCTTGTATCGGAGGTATCTGTTATAAAACAACAAAATAATGATATCAAGAAATCCAACGAAGAGATAGAAAAATCATTAGAGTTTCTAAATTTTCATTTTGAAGAAATGAAAAAGAAGATAGAAAATCTAGAGGCTGAGCGCAAACAGCACTTACTTCAAATTTCGTCTTTAGAGTTAAAACTCGATGATATAGAACGAAATTCAAAACTATCGACTATTGAAATGAGGAATATCCCATTTATTGCTCAACCAGAATCAAAGGCTACTCTAAGTAAAATTGTCCAAGATACATGCAAAGCCCTGGATGTAAATATTCAACCTAATAATATCCGGGATGTGTATCGACTAAACGGAAAATCGGGCAAAAACACAGTCATTGCAGATCTAACGACTGTCATTGCTAAACACGATGTGATTAATGCTGCCAAAAAGTACAATAAAGATCATCCTACACAACGACTGTCCACGGCCACAATTGGATTTCAAGGACCAATTGCTCCAATATATGTATCGGAAGCGCTTACTAGTAAGGGACGCAGACTATTTTTCTTAGCAAGAGACTTTGCCAAATCTCACCACTATAAGTTCTGCTGGACAACTCATGGTAAAATATTCTTGAGGAAAGCACCTGACTCTCCCCACATAGAAGTTAAGAATGAAGAATTATTAGCTACCTTAAGAAATCAGAAATGACTAGATATATCACTCGGCTATTTTCTCTGCTCTTTAAAAAGGTATTACTACTGTTTTTTGTTGTTTATTAAAATATTACCTTATTTGTGTGTACTTGCAGCTTTTAAACTTAATCGACCTTTACTTTATTTTGGTAGCCTTTGTCTTATTCATCTCATAATCAGTAATCAGCGTAAATATTTAACTATGAATTTTAAGTTGTACATATTTAAAATTCATTCATGTCATACTTTAAGTCATTGTTGTAATAAAATTAAAATTCGATCACATAAATAATCAGATTCTTACAAATACTCTAGATAACGTCAAAGTTGGTTCTTCTTTTCTATGCCTACCCGAATCTTGTAAGACACTTATAATGCAGGAATCCATTAATGCCTACTTTAAAATCCTCGTACAAAATATTCGAAGCATTAATAAAAATTTTAATGAATTTGAAATTCTCTTAAATAGATTAGATATAAATTGTGAAATATATATACTTACAGAGTCATGGAATTCAATAGTTCCTAATTATCCATCCTTAAACAATTACGAAACTCATTACACTAAAAATAATACTAACCAAAATGATGGCATTGTTATTTATATAAAACGAAACATTAATTGCTCTGTCGAAGAAGTTCATCTTAATGATGCTTCGTGTTTATAAAAATTGATCAAAAAACTGCTGTTATCGGTATCTACAGATCCCCATCTCATAGAAATATAGATAATTTCATGAATTCCTTAGATATATTACTAAATTCTTTAAATAAATTTGAAAATATAATTTTAACGGGTGACCTAAACGTTGATATTAAGATTAATAATATAGACAATAATTCAGCTGACTATTTAAACCTACTAGCTAGTCATGGCTTCCTAGCTGGCCATCAACATCCGACCAGAGCCAATAATTGTATAGATCATGCGATGATTAAATCAAATTTCCCAGCTGTTACCATTGTGATGGCGGCACCATTAACTGATCACTCTGCTGTTCTTACTTGTATTAATTTAAAGCATAAATCTGATATGCGAATTACTTACTCAAATAAAATTCACAAAATAAACTATGATTCTATTATTGAGGAGCTTAAAACAACAAATTTTGATAACATATTTAAATCACAAGATGCTAATTGGTGCTCTGAGCAATTGGTATCAACTTTGAAAATGTTGACTCAAAAACATTCATTAACAATTCTATCACCTAGAAATATACGTTGTATTAAGCCGTGGATCACACCGGGATTAGTCCGTTGTATTAGGACTCGTGATCGTATGAATTTAAAGTGTAAAAAGAACCACAAAATGAAATAATTAAGATAACATATGTAAGGTACAAAAATTTTTGTAATGATCTATTAAAACGTCTGAAAAGAAATTATGAAAGTAATGAATTGAAGAAATATGCTAAAGATCCGAAGAAGAAGTGGAAAATAATTGATTCTATAGCAAACAGAAATCATAAAATCAATCCTGCTAATGAGCTTCTTAAAATAGCTAATACTCCCGAGGCAGCTTTAAATAAAATAAATGATTTTTATTCTGGAATTGCAGCGGAACTGGCAAATACAATTCTATCTCAAAATAATAACATCCATTCTTGCCAATATGAAACACAGTTCGTACCAACTAGCTCTATGGCTCTTTTCGAAACATCAAATCAAGAAATTAATGCCACCTTAATGAATTTAAAAACTGATAGCGCGCTTGGATGGGATGGAATACCTACTAAATTACTAAAACTTGCAAGAGACATTATAGTACCCATACTGACACACATCGTAAATCTCTGCTTTCTTACGGGTGTTTTTCCTACAATCTTTAAAATATCTATTATACATCCTATTTATAAGACTGGGAACAAAAATTGTGTCAGTAATTATCGTCCAATTTCGGTACTTCCAGCACTTTCCAAAATTTTAGAGAAGATTATTAACAAGAGGCTGATATCATATTTGGAAAAAGAAAACATATTATCAGATAACCAATTTGGATTTAGAGCAGGTAAATCAACAGCACATGCAGTTTCTAATCTTGTAGAATTTATAGTGACTAATATAGATAAAAAAACTAAATGTGTAGGGGTGTTCTTAGATCTTACAAAGGCTTTCGACACTGTTTGTATTCCTAGACTGTTGGAAAAAATGGAGCAAATAGGTATCCGTGGAACAGTGCTGCAACTTTTCACTGATTATTTGAGAAATCGTTCTCAGAGGGTTACTATAAATGGTTCTTATAGCAGTGACAATGGTATCAACTACGGAGTCCCCCAGGGAAGTGTCTTGGGGCCAACACTTTTTTTAATTTACATAAATAATTTATGCAATTTGCGGTTAATAAATTGCAAAATATTTACATTTGCAGATGATACTGCTCTTGTTTTTCTTGGAGAAAATTGGGAAATCGCGAAAATGCATGCAGAAAATGGATTAAACATCATTTTTAATTGGCTTAATGATAATTTATTGACACTTAATACAGTTAAAACAAAATATTTACTTTTTACTAACTCAGAACGTAGTTTACCATCAAGTTTCAATATGCAAATTCACACCAATTCATGTTTTTACGAAACTGAAAGGAAGATCCATTGCGAATGTGATACTTTAGAAAGAACCCAAACTATAAAATATCTAGGAGTACTTTTAGATGAAAAATTATCTTGGCGCCCTCATATTAGCCATCTTATAGAAAAAACAAGAAAACTTATATACATATTTAAGAAGTTAAGACATACTGCTGATCCTGATTTGCTAAAGACTATCTATCTTGCACTTTCCCAGTCCATCCTAAATTACTGCATTACATCATGGGGTGGAGCACGGAAAACGTATATGATAAAACTTGAGAGAGCTCAGAGGTCCCTGCTAAAAGTGATAAAATTTAAACCTTATAGATATCCTACATCTAATTTATACGCAGAATGTGGCGTGCTAACAGTTCGACAATTATTCATTGTTAATTTAATACTATCTCAACATGAGAAATCACCATATAATTATAACAATGCAAGTAGACGTCAAAACAGGGTCTGTGCAACGACCAAGTTCAATACTGCTTTTATTAATAAATATCAGTGCTTTCTGGGTCCTATGCTATACAATAAAATCAACCAAATTTTAAATATCTATTCAAAAAATAAATATCAATGTAAGAAGATCTTGGTAGCCTGGTTACAAAATAAAAATTACGAAGAAACTGAGAAATTAATTGAAATAATAAAATAAGTGCTTTTTTTTTTGTTATATTACCGAGTCTTTAAAAATTCCTACAAAATAGTAAAAATTTTCATATATATTAATAATGACCTTGATCATAATAATCAAAAATAATAAATGATTGTTAACAAAATTTAAAACAAAGAGTTAAATTTAAACTAGTTTGCTAAATTACATATACGAGTACATACCTAAATTTTTACAAATAAACAACTATAAAGATATACTATATAGGTACCTAAATACAGAAAACTACAAATAATAAAAATATGCCTAAATATTTATACATATACAACTATAAATATTGTAAAATATACCTAAATATTTCCAAATAAACATCTACAAATAATATAAAACTGGTTCAAAATATATCATATTAAAAAAATATATATCTATAGAAAAAGTTAAAAAAAAAAAAATCTTACGTAAAATAATTAAACAATATACATATTTTTCTTAATGCTTAAACTCATAGCTTTAGTGGTCTAACTTCAATAATAACTAAAAATTACACAATGACGGTAGATGTTTTTAGTAAATTAAATAAGTACCTACGCTGATGTATCTCGAAATTGTTCACATTGTATATCATATATATTTTTAGTATTATGTTACATTTAACTTATTAGCAATAAACAAATTGTGTAATAGGAAGAGGCTAGCGTCTGAGATACAGGCTCGGCCTAGTTCAGACGTTAGTATACCTAAACAAAGATTGTGCTAATTATATAGTTTAAAAATAAATGTCTTGTAACCCTTTTGTATTTACGTCAATAAAGGTATTATTATTATTATTATTAGTTTTAAAGATTTAAGCATACATAGGGATATAGGGACAGAGAAAACGACTTTGTTTTATACTGTGTAGTGATGATAAAGACTGCATTTTGCAAAAAAAAAAAGAAAACATATGCACTAATAACGAGGCTGTCCTTCGCTGGCTTGCTGACAAAATAAACCAGATTGTGCATTATTGGAAAGTATAAATTATAGAGAACCTGCAGAAGTTAGATCGCACGCAAATATGTCCATTATATCTTTTTTAATGGTCTGAATCTATTGTTAAGAGTTTATTTAACTCTCATCGGTATATATAAAGGGGATTGAGGGAAGTCCTGGTCACCCAGATAATCGTGTGTCTACCTTGTCGTTATGAGAGGCTCATTAACGTCCGGCAATCCAGCCGGGTGTGAAGCCAATAGACACACTCCTGATAATTTCTCTGACAACAGAATTGATCGTGGGAGCAAACTTTTTGTTGTTATGGTCTCCCTCGGCAGGATAGCCGTCGGGTCGTCGTGGTTGAGTGTGTAAGCGATCTTGCGACTCAAAATTAACACAACATTAACAGAAAAGTTCCGTTAGGTTAATTTTGAAACAGAAATTTATTTGCCTTGTAAGATTTACAACTTATCGGACTCCTAGGATCAGCGGCACTAGCATTAGAGGATACGAGTAGATCTGAGCAACGGCCTACGAGCTGCGGCATACTTTATACTTATGGGTCTTTAGTGTACGTATATGCCATTTGCTTTTTCAATGATTTTTTTACCATTTGAACGTATATTGCTGAATCATACACGCTTGCTGCATACGCTATGATCAACTCACCGACACCACATAAATGGACCCTGTTACTTCTTAATGTTTTAAACCCCACGCTACCTTCGCTGCTCGTACTAGTTGTTAGCAATTTTATTTCTAGTCTCCATCTTGTTACACTTTGGTGTTGCATACGCAAGATTTCTAGATCTACCATCGCATTAATCTCTCATGTGGTATAATTGA